CCGAATGTTGGTAATTCCACAAAAAGATATAACAGCCAACGACAGCCGGAGAATTCACTGGTCAAAACGTTGTTAAAATAATAATACAGTAGTTATTGTTTAACCAATTAATTATGCCTCAGTTTTTAATAATCATTTTTTCCACTCATAAATACCCTGAAACTAGTTCTTTTTAAACATTTAATTACGCCCCAGTTTTTAATAAAAACCGTGTTTCCACGCATAAATATACTCTAATTATTTCTTGTTTCAACGCTATACTACGACTCAGTTCTTAATAAATAGTGTTTCAACTCATAAATATCTAGTTCTTGTTCCAACGCTAAATTTGGAATGTATTCTTAATAAACCGTTTTTACATGCATAGATATCCTGCGGCTAGTTCTTCTTTAAACGCTAAAGTTTGCCTCAGTTCTTAATAAACTTTATTTCACACATGAATATCCTCCAACAAGTTCTCCTTTAAACACTGAATTATGCCTTAGTTGTTAATAAAGCGTGTTTCCACGCACAAATATTCTGCTACAAGTTCTTCTTTAAACATTAAATTCCGCCTTAGTTCTTAATAAACCGTGTTTTCACACATAAATATCCTCCAAATAATTCTTGTTTTGAACACTTAATTAGCCTCAGTTCGTAATTAAACTTTTGCACGCATAAATATCCTATAATTAGTTCTCGTTTAAACGATATATTATGCCTCAGTTCTTAACAATCCATGTTTCAACGCATATCCTGTAACTAATACTTGTTTAAACGATAAATTACCCCTCAGTTCTTAATATTCCTTGTTTTAACGCATATCCTGTAACTAGTTCTTGTTTAAACAATAAATTACGCTTCAGTTCCTAACCAACCGTTAACCCCTACTGTCACAGCGGCATGTCTGTGGACTTACAACGCTACAAACCGCGCTTCGATACTCGTGGTGGGTATAGTGCAGATAGCCCATTGTGTAGCTTTGGCTTAACTTGAAAACAGACAAATCGTCTTTTTCCACAGAGATTGTCTGACTAGTTCTTGTTTAAACACTAAATTTTGCCTTAGTTTTTAATAAACCTTTCTTTCACACATGAATACACTCATATATATCCTGCAACTAGTTATTGTTTAAACACAATATTACGCCTCAGTTTTTAATTAGCTATGTTTCCACGTACACATATCCTGTAACTTTAAACACTAAAATACGACTTACTTCTTTTTAAACCTTTTTCTCAGACTTAAATATTCTGCAATTGGTTCTTCTTTAAACAATAAATTACACCTCACTTCATAATAAACCGGGTTTTCACACACAAATATTCATAACCTCTTTTTGTACCCCTTAGTAAACCTTTTTTTCACACATGAAGATCCTGCAATCGCTTCTTTTGAGCAATAAATTATGTTTCAGTTCTTAATAAACCGTATTTCCACGAATGAATATCCTATAATTAGTTCTTGTTTAAACGATAAATTACGTCTCACTTCATAATAAACTGTCTTTCCAAGTATAAATATCCAGTAGTTAATTCTTGTTTAAACACTAAGTTACGCCTCAGTTCTTAATAAACCATGTTTCCACGCATACAAATCCTACAACTAGTTCTTGTTTGATAAATTTCGCCTCAGTTCTTGACAAACCGTCTTTTTCTACAAATATATCCTGACTAGTTCTTGTTTAAACACTAAATTTCTAAATTTCTGTCCTGTAAATAGTTCTTGTTTAAATGATAAATTTCGCCTCAGTTCTTAACAAACCATGTTTCCTTGTATGAATATCCGGTAGCAAGTTCTTGTTTAAACAAGTTACGCCTCAGTTCTTAATAAACCGTGTTTTCATGCATATCTATCCTGCAACCAGATCTTCTTCAAACGCTAAATTACGCCTTTTTTCACGAATAAGTATCCTGCAAATATTTTTTCTCTAAACAATAACTTACTCCTCAGTTATTGATAAATCATGTTTTCACGCAGAAATATCCTGTATCTTGTTCTTGTTTAACCACTAAATTGCGCCTTATTTCATAATAAACAGTATTTGCACGCATACATATCCTGTAACTAGTGCTTGTTTGAACACTAAATTAGCCTCAGTTTTCAATAAGCCTTTCTTTCACACATGTATATCCGGCAAATAATTCTTGTTTAAACTCTTAATTACGCCTAAGTTCTTAATAAATCTTTTTTCCAAGCATAATTATTCTGCAACTAGTTCTTTTTTTAAACATTAAATTACGCCTTGTTCTTAATAAATCGTGTTTCATGCATAACTATCCTATATCTTGTTTTTTGTTCCAACGCTAAATTTGGCCTCTATTCTTAATAAACCTTATTTACATGTATAGATATCCTGAAACTAGTTCTTTGAACGCTAAATTTCGCCTCAGTTCATAATAAACCTTATTTCACATGGATATCCTGCAACAAGTTTTTCTTTAAACACTAAATTACGGTTTAGTTGTTAATAAACCGTGTTTCCATGCACAAATATCCTGTAAATAGTTATTTGTTAAACGATAAATTACACCCCACTTCATAATAAACCGTGTTTTCACACATAAATATTTATAACCTGTTCTTGTTTAAATGCTAAATTACGCCTCAGTTTTTAACAAACTGTGTTTTGTGCACATAGATATACTTCAACTACTTCTTTAAAAACTAAATTTCGCCTTATTTATTAATAAACCGTGTTTCCACGCGTAAATATCTTGTAACTAGATACTGTTTAAAAGCTAAGTTACGCCTCAGTTCTTAATAAACCTCTTTCACGCATACATATCCTACAACTAGTTCTTTGTTAACTACAAAATTACATCTTAGTTGTTAATAAACCGTGTTTCCAAGCATACATACGTATCCTGTAACCAGTTCTTGTTTAAACGCTAAATTAGTCTTAGTTCTTAATAAACCGTGTTGCTATGTATAAATATCCAGTAGAAAACGATTTTATAAGAACTGAGGCTAATTTAGTGTTTAAACAATAACTAGTTACAGGATATGTATGCGTGGAAACACGAGGTATTAAGAAATAAGGCGAAATTTAATGTTTAAACAATAAATAGTAGCAGGGGATTTTTGCATGAAGAAAAGGTTTAATAAGAACAGAGGCGTAATTTAGCGTTATACAAACACTAATTACAGGATATTTATGCGTGAAAACGTGGTTTATTATATAATAACTGAGACGTAATTTATTGTTTATAGAAAAATACTTGCAAAATATTTATTCGTGAAAAAAGGCGTAATTTAGCCTTTAAGCAAGAACTAGTTGCAGGATGGGTATGAGTGAAAACAAAGTTTATCAAGAACTGAGGCATAACTAATAGTATTTAAACAATAAATTGCTACTGGATATTTATACATAGCAACACGGTTTATTAAGAACTAAGACTAATTTAGCGTTTAAACAAGAACTGGTTACAGGATACGTATGTATGCTTGGAAACACGGTTTATTAAAAACTAAGATGTAATTTTGTAGTTAACAAAGAACTAGTTGTAGGATATGTATGCGTGAAAGAGGTTTATTAAGAACTGAGGCCTAACTTAGCTTTTAAACAATAAATTGCATGCATAAATATCCTATAACTTGTTCTTGTTCAAGCGCTAAACGACGCCTCTGGAGATTAGTAATTTATATCTAATTCGTGACTGGTAGAGACCTTCGATACTGTATATATTTTTTAATTCCAGGTATATTAGCTTATTAATTGCATTTTTTTACAGGTAGTTACTTTATTTCACAACGTAGTATATACATGAGTTGAACATATAGAATACAGATGGTCTGTGCAATTTATTTTTTGTATATGTGGTAAAACCAGATATGTGACGGATTTTCGGTTACAAGGTCACTTTCCTGCTTTATTTAAGTCACATTTCTCTCTTTGTGTGTGTTTGTGATTTTGATTTTTCTACTTCTTTCGGATGCTGCTTCTAGCAACAGCATGACCATCATTTCAAAGTTTATCTTGTATGGGTTCTAACTGAATTAAGTTGTTTTTGTGTGACTGTTGATCTTGTGTGATTATTGATGTATGTTCTGGGCATTTATTTCCACAAACTTTTAAGCTAACGTACGTGTCTTCAAAGACTTATACGTCGTCATAACTGATTAGAATAACACATAACACTGGTGCATACTACAGAACAAAATTAGAAACACTTTGGGCTGACAAACGGTCTGCAATTTGAAATATTTAATCATAAGCAAAATTCATCCAAGTAACAGTCATAAATATAATATTAATTAAATGACACTGACATAAACGCTAGGGCATGTCTAATGGACTAGAATAAAAACACACCAGGAGAAACTGAAGGATAAATTTAGATTACCAATAATCAATGCAGATCCATATTTTCTCCACTTCACAGTACAGTACAGAAGCATCATATTTTCGTTTGGCTATAATTTACATCTGGGGCTTCATTTAGAGTTTACTGTCCAAAAGAATCCTTGCGAGTACCCTGCAGTGTAACACATCTCTTACTAAGTGACTCAACGAAACGTGTCTTATGTACTTCTCCGCAATCTTTGTCCACGAGGAATATTTATACAATATTAAACCTCTACAATTAATCAATTTTGTTGAATTTACATGACTGAATAAAAGGAAGGTGATACCAATAGCACGAGAAAGTGCGTCGTGTCTCAACTGATATCGTTTTAAACGTCAAGAACATGATTTAAGTATGCAATATAGCAGATCGCTAATCGCAAAATCTCGATCTTAGATAGTTTTTTATCGGGTGGTAGGGTTGGCAATAGCTTCCTCAGTTCTGCAAACGCCACATTAAAAGCTTCCACGCGAATTCTTTCTCGTGTTGCATGAGCTAAACGATATTTCTGAGTTGCTCGACGTCTTCGTCTGCGTTCTTCGCGACTGAGGTGTGACATCCCGTCTCTTGACGACCTTCGTCCGCTGCATGTACTGTTTACAGCTGAGTCATAGCCAGGAGAATAAGTTGTTGAGTAGGAAGGTGGTGAAGCGGTTTCAGGGGGAGAAGAGGAGGACAGTTGGTCAGGATGGTTCAAAAACCCGTGGTGGGGACAGATCACAAAACTATCCTTGTCGTTGCTCTCGTTGTATTCTCGTTCCCGAACCATGTCCACTCTTTCCAGCATGGAAGGAAACATCCAATAGGAAAACTCACAGCAAATTACCAGACATGAAGTTTTCGACGGTAAATAAACTTCTCAAAACACTAAGATTCGGCGGATCGTCTGAGAGTCCTGGAAATTCCTGAAATTAAATACACACATATATACAATTAGAAATTAAATATTTCAATTATACTACGAACATGCTAAATGATTTAGGGAGACTACATGGTTTCATATTTATGAATTAAATGTGCGTGGATGAGAATGGTTTTCGTGAATAACATCTCTTCGGATGGATATGATGGGGAGAAGATATGAGGGCTTCAAACTCAAGACAACGTATAGATGGATTGGTGCTCAAGATCCACTTGTGATGGATATATCTGATTCCATAAAATTTCACGTATGTAGATGAGTCTGATACTCTTAAACCACGCTTAATCTTGACTGGCAAATATATGGAAAGCGTACTTAATAATGTCTTACAACATTTTCAAAACATGGGTGTCTTTTTCTTGCGAATTGGCTGTTAAATTTTGCATATCTTTAAATCAAGGTCACCACCAGAAATGCGTAGATATGCATCCTGTATGACCTACAACCACAGTGGAAACTCAATGATGAGCCAACAAGAATGAAGCTGTGTGTGTATCAGGTAGATCAGTAATCCCTGCAGGTCAACAAGAATTAACCTGTGGGTCAGTAATCCCTGCAGGTCAACAAGAATTAACCTGTGCATCAGCTGGGTCAGTAATCCCTGCAGAGCCAAAACTCAGTGCCTAAGTTATGCAACGGTCAGAAGGACTTCAATCAACAACTAATTGGAGAGAATGGTGACGAACTTGAACCTATTTACAATTTTAACTAGTTTTATTTTTAAGTAGTTCGTTTGTATTTACGTTCTTTATATATATATATATGTGTGTGTGTGTATATATAAAAGGTAGACTGTATCACAACCGAAATAAAATGACTTATATTTTTATCTTGGTAGTTATTACTGTTGACCCATCTCAGTAGGTATTACTGTTGACACGTTTGAATAGTTATTACTGTTGACCCATCTCAGTAGGCATTACTGTTGACACGTTTGAATAGTTATTACTGTTGACCCATCTCAGGTGACATGTTTGAATAATTATTAATATTGCCCCTCTTCAATAGTTATTACTGTTGACACGTTTGAATAATTATTAACATTGACCCGCTTGAATAATCATTACTGTTGACCCATCTCAGTAGGTACTACAGTTGACACGTTTGAATAATTATTAATGTTGACCCACTTGAATAGTTATTACTATTGACCCACTTGAATAGTTATTACTGTTGGCCCATCTCAGAAGGTGTTACTACTGACACGTTTGAATAGTTATTAATGTTGACACGTCTAGATAGTTATTACTGCAAACACCCCCAGTGGTTCAGCGCTAAGCTTCGGGTTTATAATGCTGAAATTCGGCGTTGACTTTCCGCGGAGGGTACAGCGAAAATAACTCATTTCGTAGTTTTACGCTAAAAAAAAAAAAGAAAAAAAAAGAAGAGAGAGAGAAAAAATTACTGTTGATACGGTAAAGTATTTCACGTTTTTAGTATGAGTGAACACCAAAATGTTTTATCATAGATGCATTCAAGGCATTCATTTAAAGTGGACGCTCACTACATATCAAATTCACGCGCGTACAATAGAGACTCGAAGTGAAACTCATTTCAGATGTACGTGTGTGTGTGTGTATTTCAATAAGACACCTATCGTAACTTACCTCTCGGTCCCGCTTTTGTTTCGTTTTATGTCCAATTGCTTTCAACGTGATTGTCAAATTTTGTGATGTTACGCTCACATCGCATCGGGATTAATTGTCTCCGGCGATCAATTTTGTTATTCCAACTTAGAACGTTATCCAAGATTTATCCTTTAGTTTGTCCTCAATTCTAAACAATTTGGAATGGGGGGATATGAATGAGGACGCTATTTAAACAAACTGCTTAGTAACTCTTAAAGAGAAATCGATACTTAAACCCGACACAAGACAACTGTAACACGCGTATTCTAAAAAAGGCAAAGAACTGAGCTTTTAGTGACAGGCCCGGATGAGTCAGTGTGGTGTACACCGATAGCCGAGAAATGAAACATGCATGAGAAAGAAGCGAGTATTCTGTTACTTTTACGAATTAGCCCGCTCCCTTGAGCGAAGCAATCTAGCCACTTTTTCCCCTCACCAGAAAATTGGTTGGGATGGTAGGCCTAATTAGATTTCGCGCCTTCGCCTGAGCTTTACTAAACGCTCGTGATCTTGTATGAGTATATAACGCGCACGTGTGACGCGGTGCCCCGGCAAGTCGGACATGCAACAACCATCAATCGTTCCTGTGAAAGCTAGAGCGCACGTGCGCAAGATCTACTCGCAAAATGATATGGAAGTTTCGTACAGGTTTTTGACAAGTGTGCCATTAAGATCGACTTAACTTTAGTTTGTAATTGTCACGTAACATTTGTATATCCACGTTAAGAACCCAGGTGCATCACTGCGTGCACGTATATGTCACGTGCGGTGAAAGGTGTCCACGCTCACATGCTCATAAATTGTTAATTAGTTACAGTAAACGAGAATTGATACCCCCTGTAATTATCGCTCTTCTACCATATTGAGATTTACCTACCATTACAAGAATGGCATTGCATCTAAAACATTGATATTATTAGGGATACGATTAGCTCGTGCTTAGCAAATGTGTTATTTTCGCATGTCGGATCCTCCGATCTATTAACAACTGGAATGATTAAAATGTTTTACATCAAATTAGCTTTGTTTTACCCCGACTCTTACGTTTTACTCTCTTATGTTATTCACTCCTCAAGTCAACATCAAAGATACTTACTGAAGTTACCTTTTCTTTTTTTTTTTTTGTATCACGTGTATATCCAGAGAGAAAGTTTGGTTTGTTTTGAATTTCGCGCAAACATACACGAGGGCTATCTGCGCCAATCGTCCCTAATTTAGCAGTGAAAGACTAGAGGGAAGGCGGCTAGTCGACACCACCAACTTTTGGGCTACTTTTTTTACCAACGAATACAGAAATTTACTATCATATCATAACAATCCAACGGCTGAAAGGGCGAGAATATTCGGTGTGACGAGGATTCAAGCCCGCGATCCTCACGTTGCTAGTCGAGCACTCTAACAATCAGGCTATGATAGGTCTCAGAGAGAAAGTAGTGGAAACTTCGAAGATTTTTGTAGTGCGCAGTAGTTTTAAGTGAAAAAAAAAAACGATAAGTGAAAAGAAAGTCCAGAAATGGGACTTGAAACGAGAACCTGTGGCTAACGGGACAAGGCTCCACAAAATTGAACTATGCAAGAATACAAGCCGCCCCTAGCGTATGAAACCTCATACTATTTTGCTTAAACACCCAGATCATCATGTTAGTGTTACATGAAATAGTAGTCTCATCTTACAGAACATAATGTTAATGTTACATGAAATAGTAGTTTCATCTTACAGAACATCATGTTAGTGTTACATGAAATAGTAGTCTCATCTTACAGAACATCATGTTAATGTTACATGAAATAGTAGTCTCAGCTTACAGAACATTATGTTAATGTTACATGAAATAGTAGTCTCATCTTACAGAACATCATGTTAATGTTACATGAAATAGTAGTCTCAGCTTACAGAACATCATGTTAATGTTACATGAAATAGTAGTCTCATCTTACAGAACATCATGTTAATGTTACATGAAATAGTAGTCTCAGCTTACAGAACATCATGTTAATGTTACATGAAATAGTAGTCTCAGCTTACAGAACATCATGTTAATGTTACATGAAATAGTAGTCTCAGCTTACAGAACATCATGTTAATGTTACACGTGAATTATCTTGTTCCAGTTAAGCACAGGTGCCGTCACTGTTGGGGACATGGGAAATTCGTCCACCCCCAAGTATAGGAAAAGAAAACGTTAGTTTAAGATATTATATGAATTAACTAAACTCAGTGGAGTATGTCCTCAGGATCAACATCCAACTGAATAATGTCAGACTGAACAGCAAGGTCTGTACGCTGTCCACTGTAAACTCAGTGGAGTATGTCCTCAGGATCAACATCCAACTAGATAATGTCAGACTGAACAGCAAGGTCTGTACGCTGTCCACTGAATCTAGAAGCGACGACCGTTCACTTTGAAATGAAAGCTTTTGTCGTGTCGTGTCGTTGACAATTAACGCTGATTGTCAGACATAAGTAGTATGTCAAGTTTACATTTTCTGACAAGTCGCTACGTATGTATCATTTTTAAATATATGCCTAACAATGTTAGATATGTACATTACGTTTGTTTCACGTAATGCCCTTCAATAAATGATTTTTTTATTGTTATATTTCATAAGCTGACGAAGCACGATCGTAATTAATCATATTTGTCATAAGAAATGATGTTAGGCTTATTAGGTTTTTTTGACACTAAATTCTTAATCTCGCTCCTTAAGGATTTTTAAGAATTAGAAGAGTTTATACAGTAATGGTACTTCGACCACACCATACTTGTTACATCCAACCATTACAGTATTCGTTGTATCCCAGCGGCCGAAAGAGCTCTGGACTGAGCGAAACGCGTCGTCAGCAATGAATATGACAAATTGTATGGTTGAAATGTTATTATTATATACTCTCGAATATCTCTAGAGGACTATATTAAGAATTTAGTGTCAAGAGATATAATAAGCCTAACATAATATCTTACGGCCAATATATGATTATTTACTGTTTATTGTTACAGATTGGTCGGGGTATTACCGTGACTAAGTAGAAATATAACAGTTTGTAGTTCACAAAAGTTAAAGATGTAACAGTTTAAACTTCACAATAAAAATTAAAGATATAACAGTTTTAAACTTCACAATAAAAATTAAAGATATAACAGTTTAAACTTCACAATGAAAATTAAAGATATAACAGTTTAAACTTCACAATGAAAATTAAAGATGTAACAGTTTAAACTTCACAATAAAAATTATAGATATAACAAGAAGAAAGGTCCACCTTTCGAAAGCGCTGGGTTATAGGTTTTTTTATTCATTTCTATCAAGACTTCTTGAACCTACGTGTTTTTCTAACATCATAGATATACCAACT